CCTGCAAGCCGTAGGCCTACACCCAGACCAGGCCCACGATCGGACCAAATAGAGATTCAAAATAAAATCCAGATATGCTGACCCCGCTGTTCAACGGGACTAAGGCCAAAGAAGAAGAAGAAGAAGAATGGTATACAAAACTGATCTTGAAACCTGTGGAAATTCAATTGATAACATTAAAATTGTGAATCGTTGGTCCTCTCAAATATTGTTATCCACATCACAAACCAAATCTTCAGAAATCAGAGGTTGGCCAGGGCATGGCTCATCATGCACATAACCCACCCGTCCTTGAACATTCTCACCCACTTTCAAACTTTACTGTCACTCATAGCATTATCACTGTAAAACTTCACAAATCTGACAGTGAATTTCTGCTGCTGCCAAGTTTCTTGCACTCAAGAATCAAATAACAGATCATATCTCACAGTCAGTGGATCAACTTTCTTAAGCATTATAAACTTTTACAGCTCAGCACACAGACAGATGATACGGCTGCAAATGGTGTCTAAACAAGCACAAAGCATACTAGGAGCAGACACACATACGCACTGCCATAATCGTGTGTCATTCTCACTCTCATTCACAAACAGACCTTATTTTAAAAATAGCCCTTGTAACATAAATCTCGAAATCAAATGATATAATTATTTTTCGTTTTTTAAAGTAATTTAATACGTTCTGCAACTTCCAAAATAATAATAATAATGCTGTGTAAAATATATATTAAAAATACTACATAGAAATTCTCACAAATAAAAAAATTTATTAAACTTTGTTGGAAATTGCTTACAACAACAACAACAAACAAAAAGCCTTTAAATTGAGTTTAAAAATTAAAGAAAAAATGAACTTAGATCAAACTTCTAACTTAGAAAGTAATTTTTGTTTTTAAATAAAACATTAAATATCTGTCTTCTCTTAAATGCATTTAAGAGAAGACAGATATTATGTGTTTTTTTCGCCCGTAACCTCGAAATCCTACTAGAAATACTGCAACTCATCTCGAAAACGAAGGTTTTCGAGATGAGTTGCAGTATTCCTTTTGCTTCTAGTATTGTTGATTTTTTATCTCGGTTGCTTTAATAGCGGCATCAAGCTTATAGCTCGATAATTCGGCAGTTCGTTTGGCTTTAACAATCAGATTTATGAAGAAAGACTTCATACTAGCATACTTCGTACTCGTTCGTAGCCTTGCCCAATTTGCACAACCTGACATAATGCAGCTATTGAAGTTATTGGGCATGGTTAGAAATTAAGACAGCATCGGCGCAATTATTCGGTTCTAACAAGTAAAGAATCTTCAGAGTACTGCCACAAATAGGCTACATATTGATTATTAACAATCTGTGGCATCCCGTAATAAGCAAAAGTTTAAAAAAGTAATAAGTAGGCTTAAAATTAATAAATACAAATGCATTCTGACAGTTTATGAGTTAATTATACTTTCTATTTGAGAAATTTCCTCAACCTCTCTTCTCAAACTGCACTTATTAAAAAATAACTACTCTTTACTAACCTTTAACATGCAGTCTATTTTATTAACGTAATCTAAGGTTGTGTACACATTAGGCGTTTTGAAACGCGTGCTTTGGTAACGCGCGTTTTAAAGAACCAAGATTTCCTCATAGATATACACACTCAAACGCGTGCTTCTGGCCAAGAGCGCGTCAAACGCGCGTTGATAGATTTTGGTTAGAAAGCGCGTTTTGCGGGAGTCAGCCGCGCGCTTTGAGATACATGTGCTCCCATGTTGTTGTACTGTAATACATTTATATACATGTCATATTATATACATGTCATACAGTACATACAAAACGATCATTTCGATACTGATCTATTTATTGATGAAATCCAAAAGAGACCAGTCATCGTCAAATGATTTTATAGATATTCTAAAATAATTAAAAAACTTGGGTTCATATTGTCTTACATTTGGATACAATGTCACAAACATTCCATGCATCTGTCTATCTCGTAATATTGGGTGCACTCAAAATTCTTTTTGCTTCTGCCATCGTCTTTTATAGCGATGATAGAGGAGCCAAATACAAGCAATTACTTTCACGTCCATTTCCAAACTGAGCCAGTGAGAACGGTCGTCGAACGCCGAGCTAAACGCGCGGTGTGTACGCTGCTAACGCGCATTTAACGCAACGCCCAACGCCTAATGTGCACTAGCCCTAACGTTTTCGATCAAATTAATTGACCTTCGTCAGGATCGAACGAACTATTTTATGATTTATGATGAACGAAACCGATTATAGAAAGTTTTAACTTTAAGTTTTCTCGGCGCTTATTGCGCAAGTCCAAAAATAAATAAATAGAATCTACGGATTGATAATGGACTGTACAAATATACGCATACACTAACACATAAAAATAAAAATATAAATTAATAATAATAAAGAAATAGATGCTATAACTGGCTTCGACTAATGTCTGTCCGTGCTTTTTTCTTTATGCTGATACGTTCATAATTATGCACCCGCTTTCCATACTGCGGATACTTTATATGATTCTTTGAAGTTTATAGCCTGTCCTGCAAGACTGCACTTATGAATATGCCAGGCTTCTGCATATTTAATATGTCTCCTGTCTTGCACCTTATGTATTATTTCTGCTCTTTCCCATTTCACTGATACCTCTGTTGGGTCTGCTATAACATATGTCGCTAAAGCCGTGACGGGGTTGCTCCTTCTGTACGTTCCTTTCATGCTCTTTAATTCTTTTTTTTAATGACATCCTTGTAGCTCCAATATAGCACAGTTTTTTATGCCGCCTCTCGTCTTGTACGGGTATTCTGTAAACTCCAGAAATAAGGTTCTGGTCTATAGGATCTTTGTCCGTACGTAGCATCTGATATACTGTTGGGTTTCTTTTAAATGCTATCTTTTTGTTAGTAGCTGCTCCTATTTCTTTCTAAGTGTTAGTTAATTTAAGGGTGCCATGTACTCCAGTACTGAGTACTCTTTTACTCTTCCCCGTTCGTTACTTTCATTATCGTCTTTTCTTCTTTTATTGATTAAGGCCTTTGTTTTATTCTGATTGACTCCGACCTGCCATGCTAACTTTTTGATGTGTCCTAATTCTTTACGTCTGTCCTGCACTTTACTGCAATGCGTGTTTACTCTTTTTATAAGTACCCTAAACGCTGCCAGTTTATAACTTGCTGGGTCGTGGGAGGTCCAGAGCCGGTCCTACCATAGGGCGAACGGAGCAGCCGCTCCAGGCGCTAAGTCCAAGGGGGCGCCTCAGTGGTAAAGAAAATTAAAGGGTATAAATTAGGGGCAACCAAGGGGGGCGCCATAATAGGATCTCGCTCCATCCTAAAACTTGCCTCGGGCCGGCACTGGGGAGGTCCATGGTATTACTAACGGATTATAAGTGGGCTTTCTGTACACTTTAGTAGTGATTTCCCCACCTCTTTTTACTTCTATTAATATATCTAGGAAGTGTATGTTTTTTTTTATCGTTCTGTTGTTCTAGCTTGAGGTCTAGGCAAAACTTGTTAGCGTTGACGTCCCTGAGAAAGTGTTGAATGTCTGGTTTTTCTTTCCATACAATCAAGACGTCATCCACATATCGTGCATATAATAGCATATGACCATTGTATTTCTTTAAAATAAAGAACGAATACGCAAGAGCAATCCGCAGCCCAATATGGAAAAATATGAGCAATAAGTCCTTAACTGTCTCTGCCACCCATCTATCTACTTAAATATACAGTAGACCTCGTTTTTATGACGAATCACGTCCTACAAAATTGATTTAAAGCAAGTCCTCGTATTTCAATTTCGGTGAATGACAAAAATTGAGATTACGTTCCTTGAAATAGAACTCAGCTATTTTTTTAAACTCTTTCCGCCCTATGGGCACTAAGAAAGCCTTTTTTTAGCAAGTCCATCATCGATTCGGCCAGGCTCACAATGAGACGACCGGGTGGTAGGAACGGGATCGACATATCCAGACGGATCACCCCGAAAAATTTCTGGAATTTTCAATCTATCTGAATTAGAACCCGGGTTTCTCAAGCAGTATGCTGCCACCTTAACCGCTCAACCTACTGGCCGTCTTAATTAATTAAAATACGGAAATGGCTAGTAGAAAACACCAGTTAAATAAACATTCAAATATTCACAATAAAAAAGTTATATCAGTCATAAAGACAGAACTTTATTTTAAGTAATTTATTCAACAATTACGTTTTATAATTTGAGTTTAAAATTTAGAGACGGTCCGATATCTTTATTTTATGAAAATATGGTAGGAGATATTTTTTAAATTTCTCTGTGAAGCCTATTCCGTTTATATCCATTAAGCCTAATTAAACGGACTACTTTTGGGTTATAATAATAATAATAAAATAAACAAATTTGGTCAGGAGGTGTCAATTAGAACGTCATCTCGCATTGATATTAGTAACTACAAATTAAATTAAATAGTTTAACTAAATTTAATTGCCACATATAAGGATTTTAATCTCTAAAATTGCTGGCCGGATGGCCGATGCAGTTAATGCATTCCCCCTGCTTTGAAGAACACTGGATCGAATCCTCATATATATATATATACCTTTACTCAGTGGCTCATCCAGAGGGGTCCAAGGGGCCCTGGCACTCTCAAAAGTAAAAGGAAAACAAACATACTAGAAAATTTTCCAAAAATCTTCTCTTATATAAAATTTATTTTTTATTTATACTCTGTTGTGGCATCCATTTCTATACTACTGATGAATTAGCTGTCATATAAGGTGTGAATTTTATTGAATTCGCAGAAAAATTTTTATTCGTTTAACTAGGTTTCCCTGAGTGCGCCACTGCTTTTACTCGTATAAATAATTCCGTATAACTGTGGTGGCATAAGTTGTGGTGGACCAGATTAACCGAAGGTGGGCGGTCGAATTCCCTTTTGATTTCGTTTGTTTTTGCTATGTTGACCGAGCAAACTGCAAGATTACGAAAATCTATAAATATTTTTAATTCTGTGGTTTTTATTAGGTTTGTGTGTTTCATGTCCAACAGAAGAACTGGATCTATGTTTACAGAAAATGGATCCGTTTGTTTCGAGCACTGAAGAATTTCATGGCTTAGCAGCTACTGGAGAAGAACTTCAAAGAGCGTGCAAGTATGTAAATTATTTTAAAATTTATTTAATAAGATAAACAGTCGGGATAGTTTATTACCTAAATTGTCTGCTCAGTGCGTTTGAAACAGGGATGAATTGTGTAGACGAGTACATAAGTCGATGTATATCTTACGAACAGAGAGTTCTTTTGGATAAAAAATTAGCCGGTGCTCGCAAAGTCATGGCAACTGTTTGCAAGGAAGAGAAATTATTGCAAGGTTTACTTTACATTTATTATTAAGGCTTATTGTAATTTCTCTGATTATGTGCATGGTCTTCAACAGATGACATTAAAAATTTAACGCTTTTTCTATGGGAAAATTCTTTTCCAAATATTCTCGAAAACGGAAGTAAATAAAACCAAACAGTTTTATGCGTTAGAATTTTGTTTAATTCTTCTATTAACGTACGTTCCAGAATTTTTAAAATCGAATTCGTTAATTTTCTACAAATTTTCTTCGCGTTAAAATGAATGAAAGTCTAATGCAATTAATCCATTTTTAAGACTTTTTACAAAAGGATTTTTTCCGTAGAAAAAGCATGAAATTTTTAACATCATCTACTGAAGATCGCTTGCATTACCAAATAGGTTACAATCAGCCTTAAATTATTGAAAAAATTAATTTAATTATCATTAAATTTTTTATAGGACATCGTACTTATAACTGTTTCCGTGATTTAAAAAATGAATTTGTTCAATGTTCGAAACCTATCCACAAAATTCGACAAAAACGGCCTTACCATAGCGGAGATGACACTTTTCGAAATCTTTGTTGGTAAGTTTTTTTTAAATTCTTGCATAATTGAGAAGAAATGATGTCGATTGATAGATTAATTAATTAATTAACGCTAGTTAACCTGTAATAATTATGCTATTTATAGCATAATTATTATTACTTTCTTCATTGTGGGAGTGTCCATAAAGCAAAACATAACAGTAAAGAAGGAAGAACAATTTATCTATGAAAATTTATGAAAACATTTCTACAATGACATGAAAACAAAATTTATCCAATTTATTCCGAATTATCCGTGGAAGTCTATGAAAACGTTTGCATTGAATTACAATTCTGATCCATCACAGTAATAGGAAGCATAGAAAAGAACTCGGGACCTAGAGAGCCAAGAGGCTTTCTGTTTGCCTTTATTTAGATAAATGTATTAAATATGTACATATAAATTTATTTTGGTATTTTTATTTTGCGCTTTTTTAAAATTCATTTTGTAGGGCCCTAAAACTCCAAAACGGAATGATATTTTTTATAATGGGATATTGTAATCACTTTGATGTTTTTAATTAAATATTTTAAATTTTAAGGTATATATTTAATCGTCAATATACTATATTATTAAATATACTCCAATATACTCATTTTGATGAAAGAAACATTGTCTGTTGATCTCAGAACATTGTGTACTGTTCTGTGTGATTTACTGCAGCTCAGCTTTGATTTTTTGAACGGATGTGTTTCCTTGCAGTGCACGTGGAAGAATTGCACATCGTTCTCTAGGTGTTGTTGAACTCTTGCGCCCACTGTTTCGTTTTCCTGTTCGTTGCTCCTTACCAGTATTATTGAGATACTTTGAGATTGTTGAATGAGATCTTCCCAAATTTTTAGCATTCCAAGTTACTTTTCTCCCTACCTGGTGAATACATAAATTTTGATCTCCTCTACAGTTAGGTCATTCTCAATTCCCATTTTTAATTAATAGTAAGGTACTGTACTATGCAGTTTACTATATCTTTCTTTCCACTTGGTTGATTGTATTTTTATGCAAATTTCATGTATTCCAATCATTATTTTCTTTGTAATTAATTTTAATCAGTACATGTTTTATTAATGTTGGACATCCTATTTGTTATAATAATATCTACCTCTTTTGTTTATTAATCATTTTCTCCAAACTTGTACTATACAGTAGATCCCCCTATAAAACCGTTTCCTATAGTTATGATTCCTATAAAAATTGTGGCAGTATCCGTAAACAACGGTAAAAACAACTCCTATAATACGTAAAACGTCATCGGGCAGCCGAACTACTTTCCCGCCGTCCGCAGCGCCATGCTAGGGACGTTTAGGCGGATAAATTGAGTTTAGTATCGTCTGTTCATATAATTATATATAAATTAGGTACTGTACATATAATTATATATTAATTATATATAAATTAGGTACTGTATATATAATTATATATTAACTTAATTTATTGTAACTTTATTATAATTAAATATATATTTTTCGCCGTCTAGCGTCACGCTACGGCGAGTTAGGCGACCTATCGTCTGTCCAGTACTGTAATTTTATACATTTCTTGTGAAAGAAACATTTCTTATTTAACGGCCATAAAAATTATTTATATTAAGGATGTCTCCAAAGGTCAACGAAGTTTTCGCAGAAAAATAATATCAGAAATCGCGGCCGCGGTTTGATGCGCTGTTCCGCGACGAAACCAAGCTTTAGCAACGGGCGTAGTCGAACGGTACACACTCGGTAAGCAATCCTACAATTTTTTGTTTATAACGTAGTTTATACGGATTATTTTCAAAAAAATATACGTATTTTGGAAATGTTGAGTCGAATTAGTCTAGAATCGATTAATTTTATGAAAGAAAACCTTTCAAACAGCCGTAGTCCGTAAACTATGATTCCTACAAAATTGATTCATAAAGAACGGAACGTATCTACCGTCTGATAGGGGGATCTACTGTACATTCATTCATTCATTTATTTATTATGAGATACACCCCCGATAACACTGTTGATTATTCTGTTTTATATGAATTCCATGTTGTACGAGTCACTTAGATTTTACAAATAGGTGTGCCGGGCTGTGAACGGCTCATGTATTTGTAAAATCTAAGTGACTTGTACAACATGGAATTCATATAAAACGGAATAATCAACAGTGTTATGGGTGGGTCGACTGTAATTGTTGATATCTTGCTATAAAATGTACTAGAAAATTTCATTAAAGTTACATAAAAATAATACAGCTTCTAGGCATAAAATGTGTTCTATTATTGTTGGTTCGTTAAGTTATGGCAACGCAACACTTGGGCGATCTGCCTAGGGGAATGCCTTTTGAATGGAAACTGGCCCATATTTAGGCGTTACAGACGTGGAGAAAACCCGGAAAATTCCACGTGGCCACTGACCAGCCCGTCCGAGAGAGATGCGAACCCACAACCGAACTCCCAGTGTTCAGGGTACAAAGACCGCTTGGCCACTGGTGGGCTCTGTATTATTGTTGGAAGAACTGTAGTTGGTTGTAGGTTCACGCTCGCCAACAGTCTGATCACGTAAAATTTTCTGGATTTTCTTAACATTAGTAACACTTAAATAGAAGCCAGTTTCCCATAAAAGACATCCCAGGAGGCATCTCCTCTCGGCAGATTGTATATGTGTCGCGTACATATGATTAAAATCAGTTTGAGTAGAATTAATTCGGCTCCCTCGTATACTGCACTTGATTCGGTCATCTAGATTATAAATGATAAATTCACATTTCTAAGTAAATGTCAACTCAACATGCATGCAACTAATTTATGTAGCCATTTTGATGGACTCATTCATAAAATAATAAAAAATATCATTTCTTTAGTTCCTTAACTTATATTTTTTATTGCAGTGCCCAAATGAAGTTTCTAGACTGCATATCGACAGAAACGAGAAAGATATGCGAAGAACATGCAGTTTCACTGGTACTGAAACTAATACAAGAGATTTGGTCACCCCAATTACAGCAAAAATGTTCATTGTTATCGATTATTTGCTCCAGTTGCACTCGGATTTGTCTTAATCGATTAATTATATCTTTAAACTTAATTTTCATTATAAATGATGTAAAAACGTATATTTTATAATTAAACTTTAAAGGAATTTGGATGATTTTAACGATGATTATATTTTCATGCAAAGAGAAGAAGAAAATAAAGCTTAGGCCTAATTAAACAATGCTGTAAGTCCGTACTTTCGATATTCGTATTTATGAAATAAATCAAAAATTATCAAATTGTATTGATTTATAGGTTGATCGTAATTAAGAGATCGTTAAGAGCTCTCTCCAGAAAGAATTTATCTGGCAAGTCTCGGCTAAATTTGGTTTAAATACTTTTCTGCATATGCAGTTTCGATTTTTAGGAAAAAATTTTACTTACTAAAATACAGCTACTGGGGCGAAATTTGACGCCGCTTCTTCATATTATGCATATTAAGTAAGTTTTCGCCCTAGCGGCTAAATTTTCAATAAAATTCTTTCTGGAAATTAAAACCGTATACCGAATATAATCGAAATTTCCCAATAGTTCTTTCTGCAGAGTTCTAAACAGTAATTTTCTAGGTCCATAACGCATGTTGAAACAGAACTGTCTGAAATTTCCGAGAAAACCACTCATTTCCCCTTTCAAAACGGCACTCGGGTTAGCGAAAAGATTACCGAGGAGAGCACCATGAATGGATTTATAGAAAAGATTCGATTAATTCGAAAATTTTTTTAGAAAATGACAAACCCTTTCGCCAAGATTCGAAGTGTAAACGTTAGCCTATTTCTCACTGGTTTTAATCTATTAATGAGTTTCACAAATTCTGGTTAACTTTAATTGGGGAGTAGCGTTAAGCGCGCATTTAATCCAGTGGTGGGCCGTCATTGGAAGCGGTGGATGCGGCGCTTCCCTTGTATTTTCTAAAAAATAAATACATATTAATTTTAATTATATGAAAATAATCGCACAATATTTTATTATAACCGCATTATGTATCTTATTACAAATTTCTATACTACACGTGGAAAAAAAAATAAGATTGCTATTGTATATTCGAATATTAGTGGCGGAGTGGAATCTCTGTATTGTCAGATTCCAAAAAGCCAGATTTGCGCATGCGCTTTACAGAGCACCAACCTCACCCGGTTTAGCTGGTGGAAGCCTAGGACCTTGGGTGGATGCTACACGTATACCGCATCCAATTCTATCCAGGACCGGTTCTGGGCTGTTAGCCGCCCGCCCGCTAGATATTTGGCCGCCCTCGCCCGATTACGTGAATCACGAGTAGATTTATAACTTAACCCAACCGATAAGAATTTACTGGTATGTTTTTACGATAGTTCTGTATAGTTGACAGGAGTTTAAAAAAATCCATTAAAATATTTGATATTTTTATTCAGCTCTCCGATTTTACATTACTCACGGATTTCAATGTTAAACCGTGATATTACGATTTCGTATGTTCCATCTTTAAGGGGATGTAGAAAAAAACGTGTAAAACTCTTGTATAATGTTACAAAAATTAACTGTTACTTCGACAGCATCATTTACAACTAAATTTGATGAATGAGATAGTACAGAAAAAGCTCTAGAATTTATATTCCTTAAATCTACGATTTATGTATCCATTGTCATAAAAATTTGTCTTTCCACTTTTTTCCCGAGACTACAAATATTTGAGTACAAAGTAACCGGTTTCGATTTATTTCTACTTAAGAAGTAGTTAAATAATTAAGCGATTAGGGAATTGGGGACATAAACAAAACCCTGCCGAAAGAGCCGAAATTTTACTTAAACAAAAGCTTAACAAATCTCTAGCCGAGTACAGTGGAGACTGATTTCTTCGTAATATTAGATGTAATAAAGACAGAAATTTTTTAGTTCAATGACAGTGACAGAAATTTTTCCAGTTCAATGACAGTAAATTTTGGAAATTTCCGTGGACACCTGGTCCTAAAACGAATTAGTTAGAAAACAAATGACTATTAAGTTTAACATACTGTATTTAGATTTTTACAGCTATGGTGAGAAACGTTTAAAATGTACAACAACCCTGTCGCGTCCTTTGAGGTATGTTAATGATGCGACAAAAGAGGCATTTGACATTGACCGGTATCGGCACCCTCGGGATTTGCAGCCCGCGTGCATGCACCTACCAGGACCGTCTCTGATTACATCCATTAGTCACTCTTAGGGAGCTATTTCAATAAGTGGATTGTTTTAAGATTTAAAAAGTAAAGAAGATTTTATGTTATTTTTATGTACAGTACGTTTCTTTACAAAGCTATATTTAATTGTAATTTTCTTTAAAAGTATATTAAAATATAATTGAAGAATATTTTGTACCAAGTACAGTAGAGCGTCGTTTATCCGAATCAATTGGGGACTGGGGTTGTTCGGATAACTTATTTTTCGGATAACCAATTATGTACAAAAAAATATACAGTCGACCCCCCTATAATTACGGTCCCTATAATTACGATTCCTATAAAACTACGAAAAAATTGTGACCGGTATCCGTAAAAAACAGTAAAAACCCCCTATAATTACCTGAAACGTCATCGGGCAGCCGAACTACTTTCCCGCCGTCCGTAGCGCCACGCTACGGAAAGATTTCTATCGTCTGGACAGTATTATATAAATTATATATAAATTAGGTATTGTACATATAATTATATATTAATTATATATAAATTAGGTACTGTATATATAATTATATATTAACTTATTGTAACTTTGTTATAATTAAATATATAATTTCCGCCGTATAGAGTGGCGCCACGCTTCGGAGATTTTTACGCTAACTATCGTCTGTACAGTATGTAAATTAGGTACCGTAAGTCTAATACAGTACTGTAATTTTATACATTTCTTGTGAAAGAAACATTTCTTATTCAACGGCGATAAAAATTATTTATATTAATGATGTCTCCAAAGTTCAGCGAAGTTTTCGCAGAAAAATAACATCAGAAATCGCGGCTGCCGTTTGCTGAGCTGTTCCGCGACGAAAACAATGTTGAGCAATGGCGATGTCGAATGGTGACACTCGGTAAGTAATCCTACAATTTTTTGTTTATAGCGTAGTTTATACGGATTATTCCCAAAAAATATATACGTATTTTGGAAATGTTGAGTCGGATTAGTCTAGAATCGATTAATTTTATGGAAGAAAATCTTTCAAACAGCCGTAGTCCGTAAACTTGA